ATGCTGACAGGTTAGAAATGACTGTACTGACCAATCTTTGAGCCAGAGCCAGGAGAAGAAAACAGACACACATTATGAAACATGAGGTAGACAACAGAAATCAAATCTGACATACTTAAAAAAGAAAGTAACATAATGAGGTGAATAAGTTTGCTGCTTCCACTTGGTGCCTTAATCATTCACGAACTGAAACAACAGGTACTGTGGTCGAGATTCATAAAAAGGGAATATGGCTTTTACTCTAAAGCTAATTCACTGAATTTTATTTATAAGCCGAATTTCTGGAAGTCAGTAACATTCCTGCGAGGGCAGTGTTTCTAATGATTTGCATGTTCGCAGGATGTGTGCTCAATCTTCCAGGTGAATGTTCACTGTTCAGAGACAAGGGGAATCATGACTGTGAAACTGGGTCAAGCTGATGAGGGGTTTCAGAGAAGAGTGACAGTGGGAACATGTGTATCAGTTAATGCATCTAAAGACAGTTGATGCAGCTGTGTTTGCCCCCAGCTGCATCTAGCCAGTTGCAACACTCTGGGCACTGAAGGGTGAAGTAAGCCACAGTTAGTAAAAATAATAACATTGTATGCCACACATCAGTGGCTTTTGGGGGATGCAGAAATGAAATGTTGGATTAAGCTGGAACAAAATTAAATATTATGAAATACAGTCCAAAGGTAATCCATTTACAGTGTCCTTGCAAAACTATTCATACCCACTGATCTTTTCAAGATTTGTTAATTTACAACCAAATATTTCAATGTATTTCAGTGGATTTTTTTTTAAATAGACCCGCACCAAGTAGTGCATTTGTATATGCTCCCCTTTACTCTGGTAGTCTTAATTAAAATCCAGTGGAAGCAGCTATTTTCAAAAGACACCAAATTACTGAATAAATCTTGCCTGTGTGTAATCTCAGAATAAGTCCTGATATAATTTCATCTGTGAATACATCAGGGTGTCACGTTGGGGTTTTGGGGTGGACCAAAGTGCATACAAGAGCTTGGAAGCAGCATCTTAAATAAATCCTTACTTTATTTGAAGGATCAAAAACGTAACAAAAATCACTGCAGGTACAACACAGAACCGGAATCCAAAAACTTAGCTGAACACTGAAGGAACATGGCATGAACGAGGGTAGCGAGTGTGAGCGTAGGAACCAGCAAAGGACAATGAAACAAAACCAACTAATATACAGAGCGAGAACAAAGGCAGGTAATCAAGGAACTAAGAACAGGTGTGACAAGGAGGCAGGGAGGCAGAGGGAGCAGGTGAACCTAATAAAACTAAGGCATGAGGAAAAGAACTAAATGACAAGACAGTGAGCAGACCTAAAAGAAACTATAAACCAAGATAAAACATAAGAATCAAGAATAAACATGAACTGAAGGAAATTGAGAAACTGGAGGGGACACAACAACCTAAGCACTTAGCAAAATAGAAACCATAAGGGAACCCTGACTACAAAAGTAAACAAACCTAAACACAACACTGATAGAACAAAACTGGAAAGGAAACAGAGAACCAGAATATGTACAAACCAAAAATAAACAATAACTAAAACTAACTTATAAAGAAGAGCTGGAAAGAGAACAAATACTTAACCATAAATAAATACAGAGATACTAAATGAGGAACTAAGCTAAAGAAACCAAGGAAGACAAAAACTATAATAATAATAATAATATCACAAAGTAAAAAGAAAGCAACTACTAAGAAGCTGAAAACGAGAGGAGAGAAACACAACACACACTAGGAGGCGGGAGAGCGAACAAAACTAACAGGGGGCAAAAGGAAGTAAACAGACTGCAAAACCCAAACTAGAAACACCTGGATGAAAAGTAAACAATACAAAACCACAAACAAAAGTCCAAAAGTCACATCCTGACACAGGGATGTCTTAGAGAAGATTTGTGAACAAACAGCATTGTAAATACAAAGGAACACAGCAGATAGGTCAAGGAGAAAGTTGTGGAGAACTTTAAAGCAGGATTACAGTATAAAACAATATCTCAAGCTCTGAACATCTCATTTAACACTGTTCAGACCATTACCTGAAAATGGAACAATGGCACAAGTGCATTCCCCTAACTAAACTGACAGACTGGGCAAGGAGGGGATTAATTAAGGAAACAACAAAGATGATAACTCTGGAGGAGCTGCAGAGATAGGGGGCGCTAAATTGATTGTACAAAAAAAAAATTGCATGTGCGTGTTGCGCACAGTTTTCAAAGATTGCCTGTGCAATGGATAACAGGTGCAAAAGAGGTGCTGACTGCCTTATTTAAATGAGGAAATGGCATGTGCTACTGGCTGGCCCCTACTGCCCCCAGCGGAACAAGAGAAAAAGCAAACAAAAGCTGCAGCACTTAAAACATGGTGTGGTTGTTGCGCTGCATCATTATAAATGATCCAGATGCGGATTTTTTCCTTCTGTTCCGTTCTGGTCCTGCTTTTCTGGACTGTTACAGTTTGTTATCTTTCTTGTCGCCATTTACAGCAGCAGGTTTGTTATCGCAGCCTTTGCCGTAGGTTGCCTCTGAGTACGTTATTGTGCACACAGAAGGCTGAGTTCTGTGAGCAAATGTTTTATGTTTGTGGTCCAGAAAGACGCAGTGAGGCAAAGATTACATCCTACTTAGCCTTTAATCAAAATGATGGATTATAGGCCATTGTGCATGAGGACAGAGTTGTATTCAGAGTGGCGAGTGCCCTCCGCCATTGGTGTGTACACAGGGCAGATGTTCAGTGTTGCGTCTCCACCACAGGACACGCACAGCTTGTAAACTGTGTTGCTTAATTCAAAACTGCTGCAGCTAAGAAATTGGCAAATTGGCAAGTTTAACTTTTAATTGGTGTCATTCATGTGCCGACTGCAATGGCAGCTAATTCGAGTAGCCCATGCTTGTGCTGGAGTAGGGTGATATTCTGTCTGGAAAATGGGAATGTTTAAATGCTCGAGGGATGAGCTCCTTCGCTCGCTGCACAAAACGAGTGGGATTAAACATCCAATTCCATTTGAGATTAGGAAACCTTTTAGAGGACGCTGAGCTGGAGCCAGGATAAAGGTGAGGAGGTGGCCATACAAACCCCTCATACCATCAATATTAAAAGGGAATGTCAGTTCTTTGCCTAATATGTCTGAGGAGCTGGAATCATTGGGTAAGACTTTTGGAGTGTACTGGGAGTGTTGCCTGTATTTCCTGACGGAGACGTGACTAACAGACAATATCGCAGACTCGCTTTTCAACATAACCAGCTTCTCCATCATAAAAGCTGACCGGGACATGGAAATGTGTGGGAAATGTAAGGGCGGTGGACTTGCCTTGCTGGTAAATAACAGATAGTGTAATCCCGGTCACATCACACTGTGGTTATTTTGAGACCGTATTATCTACCTCGGGAGCTTTCTCCCAATGTCGTCATTGTTGTTTATATTCCACAGCGAGCAGAGCCAACAGTCGCGTGTGATGTCATCCTAGAAAGTGTCACAAAAACTCAGAATTCATTTAGATGCACTGATTGTTATTTCAGGGGACTTCAACCATGTTGATGTTAGCTCTCATCTAGGGGGTTTTACACCGTATGTGGACTGTCCTACAAGGCATAACAACATTTTAGATCTATGTAACATTAATCTAAAGGACACCGACTGTGTGCCTCCCCTTGGCAAGTCTGACCACAACTTGATCCACCTCAGACCAGTATATAGACCATGTATATAGACCATGTGCGAATAGACTGCCCATAACAAGTAGATCCTTCATACAGTAGACCCCAGAGGCTAGCGAAGTTCTGAGGGACTGTTTTACATCTACTGATTGAAACACATTTTTCAGGCTCATTTTTGGGTCTAACTGCGACATTGGTGAAGCTGTAGGCTGTGTCACACGTGAATAAGTTTGTTCACGCGATAACTCATTAAAAAACATGGCAGCGACAGATGGCCGCTTCAAGATCTTGGTAAATGCTTGCATTTCTTTGCTTTTTGGAATCCAAAATGCTGGCAATGCCCCTGTAGCAAACTAAATAAAAAAAAATACTCCGTCTCCTTAGAATCCAAACATGCCGCGCCATTATCCTCCTACTACTTCCTGTCGTCTTTTTCGCCAGTAGTACCACCCAGTTGTTGATCACATGACTTGTGATGTGAAAAAAGTGTTTCCATTGCAGTTTTGCGAAATACACTTATTTCAATACGGCCAAAATAAAACACCTCATCCAAGTGCAAAAAAGTTTTGTCGAAAAACGGATGTTTTTTTGGAAATTACTGTGTTTCCATTAAGTGATTTTTTTTTTCGTAATTACAATTTGCGCAATTTGATGGTCAATGGAAACGCAGCTAGTGATTGTAGCATCCACTTTGAAAATGATGGATTTATTCTTTCTTATAATGTTTTTTAATTATATTATCGACATCACAAAACAGTGGGTCCTTTAGATGATGTGCAATTGCAGTTACACAGGCTGTGTGCGCTTCTCTGGTTGAACCTTTTCATCAGTTTACATGATGTGAAAATAAGTTTTAGGAGTTGGGCCTCTCTTCCACCGCATTCCTGTGGTACTCCTTCTAGCCTTGTCCATGTGGACTCAAGCCCGCGTATGGTGGTATGCACCACCCGAGTCACAGCTGTGCTGCCTGTCACTCAGAAAGGGCAGCAATGAAAGGAGCTCCATTCCTCCTCAGTCCTCCTCCACCCACCTCTTCTTTTCCCTTTTGGACCAGAGAGCATTGCTCACCCCTTTCAGCACACAGGTATAATATGGCCTGTCACCACAGCCCAGTTGACCTCAGGCATGACCCTGCAGCTGGTTGTCCATCGTATGAGACCAAGGAGGAAGAGCTCATATTCTTGCATTGCATGGTTCAGGTACTGTAGATCGTTTAGCATAGGTAAATGACCTGAACTTATGTAGCACCTTTCCAGTCATACAGACCACTCAAAGCGCTTTACACGAGAGCCACATTCACCCAGTTGCACTCTCTAACACTCACACACCGATACGTAGATCGGTAGGAATCGAACCCACAAACTTCTGATTGCAAGACGACTACTCTTCCTACTGAGCCACAGTCGCCTCAAGCACAGTGTATTATTGATCAAGATTTTTTAGCCTACTAACCAGTCACCTAATGGTCCAAATATTCATAGAGTTAAACATAGAAATTGTAAGGATAGTGTGGTGGTAATTGAAGGTTTTTGAGTTTAAACAAAGCATTTTTTTAAATTCTTGTCAATCTTGGCTAATTATACGTAGATCTATATTTAGACTTCGAATAAAAGTATTAAATAATTGTTTACACATGTTCTAATCTTTCACTTTTAGATCAAAGATATCTCAAAATTAGTGCTGAATGTCTGTGGACTGTTTAGACATTGTTTAGAAATATTTAAAACAAAACATACACTGCTGGAAACTCTGTCAACACAAAAGGAAACTTCAAGAACCTCTTCCTTTCTGTCTTCTGAATAGAAATCTCAAAAACACAGCAGGATGTCAAGCTTAGAGCACACTTTCATATACAAATCACAAGTCATTACCTATCAGGTTGTCTATGGAGGTTTGTTAAATACATATTGAAAACTTGCAAACTGACGGTTGGAGGCGTCTAACCTTTCAGAACTTTGTGATTACTGAAAATACAAGGTTCTTATCAGCAGCTGGCTGTAAGTAATTTTTGAAACTTTCTAAAGTTGTCTTACTTATAATTTGGTGGAAAAACGTTCTTTATATTCACAAGTTTACTAGCTTTTAGCAGAATCAAGCACAACAAACTGAAAAGAAAATACAGAATAGAAAATGAAACCCGTCTGCTGGCACATAGTTTCTCTATGAAAACTACGGGGACAATGATGTATTTCATTGAAACTATATTCATTGAAATTATATTCTACAGTTTGACTGACAGAAGCAATCAGTAACAAAATGACGTGTGGTGTGTGTGTTTTCATTTTAAAGTTAGGACAAACTTTATTTAAAGGGTGGTTTTTTTAACACAAATCTGCCATAATGCGCCGTCAACACTTGTGCATTTAGATCCTGTTGTTGATGGTATTTTAAAGGTACATGTTTGATTTTAAAGGAGTGGTAACAAGCTATAGGCTCCCCTTTTTGTTAGCTGAAATGGCTAAGGCTAAACACGTGACTTATGACCCCCATCTTATGAATCCATTAAGAATTTATTTATTTATCCAGAAAGGTTGTTAGTTTCCAATCTAGGGAATTAATATTTCCCTAAATATTATTTTACTAAATGTGATAGCTATTTAAACACCATTTAGACTCATTCAACCAGAAAGGTTTGTTTCTTATTCAAAATAATATTTTCTTAAATATTATTGTAATAAATAAAGGCAGCTAATTAAACACAATTGAGAATTAGTCATCCAGAAGGTTAGTTTTATTCAGCAAATCATTCTTTAAAATATTATTATATTAAACAATGTTTTATCTGATGTTGCATTGTGAATGGTTTGAAGGTATACTAATTATTGTCTAAGTTCCAAGACTAACTTAACTTCATTTCCATATTCCGCAAGATAAGCCCCGTACTCGTACTCGTCGTCTTCTGCTTTATCCGGGACCGGGTCGCGGGGGCAGCAGACTCAGCAGAGACGCCCAGACGTCCCTCTCCCCAGACACCTCCTCCAGCTCCTCCGGGGGGAGCCCAAGGCGTTCCCAGGCCAGCCGAGAGACA